CTCCCAGTTATGGCCATTCTCCCAGGGATGGTGCAGCTTCAGGGCCTTCCAAGAGGAGCCTGCAGAAGGCTGGTTCCCCCAGGGCTGCTCTGGAGCAAGCCCTGCAGAGAGAGATGAGCAGATCCATGTGGGGCGGCTACAACCTCCGCAGCCGCTTTGTGCAGCACACCGACTACAAGCCCTCACCGAGGAGGAGGAGGCAGACAACAAATTCTCCATGTCATGACCAAACCCCTGTCCACAGAGGAGCTCCAGAGCCCTCCAGAACCAGCTTGAAGCAGGCTGCCATACTCAAGGCTGATGAAGAGCAAGCCCCAGCAAGGTGGAGGGAGCAGAGGAGATCCCCGCGGTGGGGCTGTGACCGCCGCAGCCGCTCTGTGCAGCGCACCCTCCACCCCTCTCTGGGCAAGAAGAACAGGGGGAGAACGAGTCCTCCACGCTGTGAAAAAGCCCCAGTGGATAATGCAGCCTCAGGACCCTCCAACACCAGCTTGAAGCAGGTTCACGTGCTCAGGGCTCCCAGGCTGAGAGAGCAGAGGAGCTTCCCACAGCCGGGCTACGATCTCCGCAGCCGCTTTGTGCTGTGCACAGCCCAGCAGCCTTCAGCGAGGAAGAGGAGGGTTTCCACGCCCCAGAGATGCGTGTCAGACAAGCACTCGGAGCACCCTGGGAGTGCTGCAGTCAGGTTGTGGCCCTGGCTGAAGCAGAATGGAAGATTAGCACTGCGTTTTTTAGCAAAGGTGTCCTTGTTTTGTACACGCCTTCTCAAACATGAGGGAACGATTTACTTAAATGGATAATGATGATTCTAATGGCTAGACTTACAGGTTTTAATTAGAATTCTTTATTCCACAGTGTAAATAGTTATTGCTACTAATATAGCTCAGTATTTGGAAGCAATATTGAAGCAATTATATTAAAGGTAGAAAAAGAAATGTTAAGTAGAGACTGACATTACTCACCCTTGCCAATGGCCCTGAACAAGTCTCTTTTTCTCAGTCTCAAAGTGAAACCCTGCTGGGTGTCCCCACTCAAGGGAGGAATCTCCACACTCTGAGAAGGGGTGTGTTAAAGTGTGTCCTGCTAAAGAGTGGGACAGGGTTTTTACAGTCTGGAGGGATGGGCTGTCAGTCAGGGAGTGCCAGCTGGAGCAGGACGCTCTGCCTGAGCAGGGACACAGCAGCTCCAGCTGTTTACACCTTACCAGGAATTCAGCAAGGAGCATCTCCTGTTTTTAGGCTGAGAGCAGCTTGATCAAACTGTCACACCCACCACTGTCACAGAAAACATCAGGGTAAATTAAGCTTTCTAATGCTGCTTTTAGTATCAGAAAGCACACATTATTACAGTGTTCCTCTAAACATGCACATGCTCTTTCAAAACTTTGCATTATTTATACATTTTAGCAAATCAAGAAATTAATGTTTATTGGCTATAAATTGCATAATGCTCTTCATTAATTAGTTTTCTGTCTTCTATTGGTTATTGACTTCTTGCTTGTCATGCTAATTAGTCAATATTTTCGGTCTTTTTATTATCTTTTTCCTAGATAGAGAGAGGTATCGTGTTTTAAACCCAGATGGAAATTAAGCACCACGCAGCTGCTTGCTCAGCCACCTCTTCTTCCTCCCCACACTGGTGGAATGGGGAGGAGATTTGAAGTAAAACTTGTCTGTTAAATTAAGAACAGTTTAATATCTGAAAATAAAGTCAAGTACAACAATGGCAGTAATTAATAATGATAATGAAAAGGGACCAAACAAGTGACGCACAATGAAATTGCACACCACCTGCTGCCTGATGCCAGAGCCCCCTTCCCAAACCAAGATCAGCTGCCCTTCTGGGCAACTCCTCCCAGTTTAAATTCCAGGAATGATGTTCGAGGGTGTGGGTGTCCCTTTGGGCAGGTCACCTGTCCCAGCTGGGTTCTCTCCCAGTTTCTTTTGGGAACCTCCTCACTGGCAGAGCAGAAGATGGGGAAACAAAAAGTCCTCAACTCAGGATAAATATGACTTTGCAAAACCTAAAACTTCAGTGTATTATCAACACCATTCTCATTCCAAATCCAAACCATAGCTAAAGAAGAAATTAAAGAAGAAATTAACTCTACCCTAGCTGAAACCAGGACAATGGGATTACAGTGCAACTGCTGAATTTTCTTTGTTAGTTCCCTCTTTATCTCAGAGTTCTGCACAATGGCTCATAAATTCTGCATTCCTTGTGTCCAGCTTCAGCAATAGATCCCTCTTCCAGGTCTGAGATCATTGAAGCATATCAAAGTTGATTACAGTTGTTTTAGCAAAACTTAAAGCTTCAGGAATTTTGCCAAGCTGTGTTCCCACTGTAGCAGCTTATGACAAACCTTGCTGAATGTTGGCTACAGTGGCATATGACAGAGAGAAAAATTACACTGGTTATGATTAATTAAAACAAGTAATTAGAAAATTTAATTAAAATTATTCATTAGAAAATATATTTGTGACGTTCTATAATTTCTAATACCATGCAAACAGACATTCCCTGATCTGAGGGCAGGAGCAGCAGGCATGTCCAGGCCTTCACATGGAAGTGAGAGTCACAAGTGTCACGTGGAAGAAACCAAAGAGCTTCCAACACCTTTTTCAGCAGCAAAGCATATTTTACTGAATAAACCTGGCAACACAAAATCTAGAATTGTATCAGAGTGGCAGGCAATCATGCTGTAGAAGGGTAGTCCCACTTTAGCATGGTGAGAGCTTCTAGCATCCCTCCCTAAGGTGTGTGAAGATCCCTCCCTTGAGCAGGGAAGCCCCTTGAGGTCACTTCTCATGGCTGAGCAAAATAGGTTTGCTCATGCTTGTTGCATGGGTAACATCAATCTCTACTTAATAATTGTTTTGCTAGATTTAATATAATTGCTTCTCTATTGCTTCAAAAATAGTGCAGTATACTTTACTAGTATGCTACCTATGCTACGTAGCAAATAATTCTGATCAAGTTATTTTGCTTAATCATTGCAATAAATTTAAATAAATACTTCATTTTATTATATAAATATATTTGCTTTGCCATCTTTAATCCCATGGGACAAAGTTGTCTACACACCCAACACATAGAAATAGAAAGATTTGGTGAATAACCCTAAACCACACTTTAATATCTGAGTTCAGACAATCATTCTCTGGATGGGGTCCATTCCAGGAAAGAAGTACCTAGTGAACACAAATAATCCCACATATTCTCCACAGTACCACGCAAAAAATACTAAATAATGTAGATTGCACCCCAGAAAATAACATTTGTCCCAGGCATGTTTCAGGTGTAGCAGTTTTTTTTCAGGAATACAAAAATATCTTGGTATTGATCTTCTATTCCAATAATCCATTTTTACTTTCATTTTTACTTTACTTTTTAGGCTGTAAATCTCCCTGAAAGAAAAGTCCTACCTGTGTAAGTGCCAGAGGACAATAACATCTGGAAAAAGAGACAGAAGAATGAAATAAAATAAAGTAGCTCACCTGCCAGTAGGAGAAATCTGTGGTTAATGTTTTTGGAAAAGCCACATCACAAATCTGAAGTATTTCTATCTGTGTTCCCAGAGGAAAAGAGTCTGGTGGGTATTGGCTGCTGCAGTTGGAGGAGTCAGTTATTTTCTTCTCATTGTTTAGGTACAGCACAACTCTTTCTCTGGTTCTCATGTTAGAACAAACTGTAAGAAAGAACTACAGAGCACTTGCATATCTATTTTAATCTGTTATGTTTTGACCTTTCATCGTCTTGGGTCTGATCTTGCCTGAATTAAGGGATAAAATTTGATGTGGAGACAATCTACAAAGAGAAACAGGAAAATGGCTTTAAAGGTTTTGCAGGAAGAAAGAACATGTGCATAATTCATGTCTAACTCTCGTTTTATTATTTCCTAATTAATGGTGCAGGAAAGGCCTCCTATGGGAGAACATATCATACCATCACAGAGGTCCTTCAGATTTCTCAGAGATTTTCCTCTGTGGATAATAATTTCTGTTTAATTAAACAAAGATACTGCACTTTCAAGCTGTCACCATACAGAAGACACATCACATTAGGTGGTTCTTCCCTATAAAATCACTTTCTGCTGTTCACAGGATATGATGTGATGCAGAGGCCACTCCAGAGTCAGTTACTAAGGATAAAAGTGGCAAATACAGTCCTACAGCCAGGGGAAAAAGGATCAGACTGAATGAGATGTCAACACTGGAAATGTGAGTATCAGCCAGTAATTCAACTTTTAATCAATCTGTTTGGCCTTGAAAGGGGCATGGTGGTGAGAGAGACAATGTGGGGTTGCTGATGGATCTGAATAAGAAGCCACACAATAAACCAAACAACAGCTAAATAAAAAAGATATTTTAATAGAATACAATAAAAATTAAGATTTTTAATGAGTGAATATTTTGTCCCTTATCCCCAGATGAATGTGGACTGCATCTTTGCTTCACCTTCAAATTTTATTGAGAAAGCAGAAGTATTATAAGCCTGTGTGGCAACTCTGTAATTAATTTGGCTGCATTATGAAGTAATAGTAATTACTGCAAAGTAAAACCAGATCTTGATATTTCTGTAGATATCTGGGTGTGTATAGAAATGCTTTCCAAGCTATGTAAAACTAGAGGCGGCTGTGAGTCAACTCAAACACATGCATCATGTTTATCCAGCCTCTAACAACCATTCCTTATTGCTCCAATCAGCACTAGCCAGTCTCAGTGGACTTTATAAATACACATAAATACAGTATAAAGAGCTGTGGAAAAGCCTCTCTTCTGCTTCACTGCAGAGTGCTCAGAGTTTAAAGCTTTTCTGGAGACCTCATAATTTAGGGGTTTTTTTCCCTTCCTTGTCTTCCACCACACTGCACAACAGGTAAAAGAGAAATTACCTTTGTTTTATTCAAATATTGCTACTGATGATTTTGGCACTTGAACTGATTAGTCCATAAAAAGATATCCGCCATAATTTTTTTTCTTTTTCTACAGGGTAAAAATGCTAGCTGAGCATTTGAAGACAGTAGTGAATATGCAAGCTTTGAAGCAATGCCATGAAAGAAGAATCTGTCAAAAATAGAGACAAAAATAAAGGCATAAGGCTGCCTTATTTTCTTTAGACATTTTTATAATCTGTTCAGAAGATCTTTTCACATAAATTCCAGTCATCCTTTTGTCTGTTCAGGCAGGCAGTTGTTTTTGATTGCAGATTTGCCTGGCTGTTTGCAGCTTCATCTAAAACAGAGTTCTACAAGGCACCAAAGAAGGATGATCCTTGGGAACCTCAGTGGACTGACTGAATTCAGACTCCTGGGTTTTTCTGGAATGTCTCATTTGCACCCTTTGCTCTTTGTAGTTTTATTGTCTCTTTATATTCTCACCTTGATGGCTAACACAGTGATAGCTTTCACAATAAACACTGACAACACCCTTCACACCCCGATGTATTTCTTCCTCACTCAGCTGTCCTGTTTGGATATCTGCTATTTATCAGTCATTATCCCAACAATTCTGGAGAACCTGATGGTGGGAACAGTAAGTATTTCCAGGACAAGATGTGCAATGCAAATGTTTTCCTTCCTTTTCTTCGGGGTTGCTGAATGTTTTCTCTTGGCTGCCATGTCCCTCGACCGTTATTTTGCAGTTTGCCACCCCTTGCATTACACAGTTATCATGGGCAGCAGGGTCTGCAGGAGCCTGGTTGCTGGGAGTTACATTTGTGGGGCTGCTGTGGGCTTAATTCACACCCTCATAACCTTCAGCTCACCCTTGTGTGGCTCTGCCATCGACCACTTCTTCTGTGAGATTCAGCCCCTGCTGGACCTGCTCTGTGGCAACACCTTCCCAAGAGAGCTCCAGGTCATTGTGGTGGCTGTCTTTGCTATTCTCAGCCCTTTCTTACTGATAATTTATACTTATATTCATATAATTTCCACAATTCTTCACATGGCATCAGCTGAGAGCCAGCAGAAAGCATTTTCCACTTGCTCCTCACACCTCTTGCTTGTGACTCTGTTTTATGGCACTGCAGGCTCTGTGTATCTGAGGCCGAAATCCACCTACTGTGCATCTGTGGATAAATTCCTCTCACTTTCTTATTCTGTGCTGACTCCTTTATTGAATCCCATCATTTACAGCTTGAGGAATAAGGAGGTGAAAGGAGCCCTGAAGAAAAAATGGAGAAAAACTAATTTACTGTGGAAATGAAATGGAAGATTTGGGGTGTTTCAGGTGTTTGTACTGGTATTTTTCACTCTAAATTCTTGTTCAGTGAAATGAATTTCCACATACACTTCAGCTTTTGGGGAGGAAAGAGGGAGAAGAGTGGAGATTTTCAGCTGTAAGAGGGAGTGTTAGAAGCTATGTTAACATTTTGGAAGGAAACTTCTTCCACATACTTAAGAAATTCTTAACTAAATAAACCTTTTCTTTTTTCTTTTTTCTTTTTTCTTTTTTTCTTTTTCTTTTTCTTTTTTCTTTTTCTTTTTCTTTTTCTTTTCTTTTTCTTTTTCTTTTTCTTTTTCTTTTTCTTTTTCATTTTCTTTTTCTTCTTTCCTTGCTGTTTTTCAGAAACTTTAAAATTGTGTTTTACATTCTTCTGACTTTTGGAAAAGCAGAGTAATATTCAGGAGCCTGGTTTTGCTGAAAGAAATGAGAAGAATAAGTTTTCATCTGTTTGCATTTATTTCGCAAAAATGTTTAGTAAATTTGCTTGGGGAAGGGAGAGGACATAATTCAAGCTATAATATGGAGCCCAGGGAATTAATGAGTACTGATTAATAATTCTGAGATTGTTATTGGGAAAGAAAAAAAAAAAAAAAAGATGTGCAAAATTGCATTCCTGCCCAATTTCCTCAAAGATATTTCTTGAATTTTAGAGAAATTGTTTTAAACATGTTAGACCAAGTCTAGGCATTTGGAGAACCTAACCACTGTAAAGCTCTGCAACTGTTAATAAAATTCTTTATATTAAATACTCAAAACTGAAATTACATTGGAAAGTTAAGGACATGAATTCCAACAGCAAGGTGGTTTTGGGCAGCTGGGAGATCCTGACCAGTATTAACCCCAAAATAACCAATAAGCAAGGGCCCAAAGGATCTCTCTACAGGAGAATTTGTTTGATTTATCTGACAAAAAACAGATAAGCTCTTGTGGGGGAAATGCCCTGTACACAACCTCCTGTTGGGATGTTGGGGGACACAAGACAGATTATGAACTTTGGGCCTGCTTAGCACAAGAGATTTGGTAATAGGATAACATGGGAATAGCAAACAGAACTTTGAGGATTAAATCAAGATTGCAAGAAGATCAAATCAGATGGGTTTACAGGAAAAAGCAAACGACATCAGATTTCTGCAAGCAAGAGATATTTAAAATGTATATTTGTTTATGTGATGATTAACCCAATCACTGTAGTAAAACTTTACTAGCCTCCCTAAACAGTATAGAAGTGTTTGTATCCCACAATAAAATCAGATTCTGATCACCAAATCAATGTTCCCTGTCTCTCTTCATCACTGACAACCTCCCTGCAGATACTTTTACATGGGGACAGGGTCCCCTCTCAGTCTTCTGGAGGCTGACCAGCCCCAGCTACCTCAGCCGGGCCTCACAAGAGGGATTCTCATCCTCTCTGAGGCCCTCCACTCGACAGCGACATCGTTTGTGATCATGTGTGGAGAAGTTTCTTGAAATTGTAGAGCTCTGTAGGCCTGGAGGAGAGGACCCTGGGGCCAGGCCTCATGGTGCTCTTGGCCTCACAAGAGGGATTCTCATCTCTGAGGCCCTCCACTCGACAGCGACATCGTTTGTGATCATGTGTGGAGAAGTTTCTTGAAATTGTAGAGCTCTGTAGGCCTGGAGGAGAGGACCCTGGGGCCAGGCCTCATGGTGCTCTGCTCCATGCTCCTGAGGGGCAGTGAGGGCAGGTGTCCAGCTCTTCACCCTCATGACAGTGACAGGACTTGAGGAAAAGGCTGGAGCTGATTGAGGGGAGATTTAGGCTGGATATCAAGGAAATGTTTTTCACCCAGAGGGTGGCTGGGCACTGAAGAGCCTCTCCTGGGGAGTGGGCTCAGCACCAAGTCCCTCTGAGCACCTGGGGTGTCTGGACAATGCTGTCCCACAGGTGTGGTGACTCTTGGGGTGTCCTGTGCAGGCCCAGGAGCTCTGATGGTCCTGGCAGGTCCCGTCCAGCTCTGAGCTTCTGTGGTTCTGTGTCCTTGCAGATCTGCCTTGTTGACAGCCCATCTGTCCTCCCAGAGCTGACCTCTGTTGTCAGCCCTGCACAGAGCAGCTGTGATGCCTCGGCTCTCACAGCAAACCTGCCCTGAAACAAGGCAATTATTACCCTTGTGTTAATGAGCAGATTATTTTGACCTTACACTGGGACAGATGAGGAACTCACTGCAGCATGTCTGCAGTCATTAATATTATAAGTATCTTGAGTTTCCCTCTGGCTTTCAGTGTCTCCAGCTCTTCCCCTGTGCCCTTGCTCACATCCCTGGCTGCCTATTCCCTCTTCTCCATGAAGTTTCTTTCCAAGACTCTGAGTGCAGATGTCCCAAGGCATTAGAGTTTCACCAAGTTTTAACTAGGCCTTTGTGTTTAGCTGGGTACCTCCCAGAGGAGATACTGGGCTGTAGAGAATTGGAGAGAGGGCAAATCACCAGCTAGGAAAGTTCTGAATCTCAGGAGTCAGTCTAATTGCAGAAGTTCTTGTTAGCTCCAGCTAATTGCTCTTAGCTTTTTACCAAACACAAATGTTTCCTTTTCTGAAGGAATGGCAGGATCACGTCAACACAAATCTAGATGAGACTGGGAATACTCCTCTGCTTTGGTGCTACACTCTTGTAACATCAGAGCTGGAGAGAGTTAGGAGTTTTTAAAAACTTCAGAACAGCTCCAGGGGCTATCAGGACACTGCCTGGTGCTCATGAGGCCAAGAGGCACCTGCCTCCTAAGAGGCCTGGTTTGCCTCTGCCCAGAGATGAACAAATCCCAGGAGCAAGGACCAAAGGGAAGCAAGAATCACTTCCCAGCAAGAGACAGATCATAGGTACCACTCCTGGCTGGTGTAAGTTCCTTTAAGCAAAGCTACTGCTCAGAAGTTCAAAACCACATGCTCTGGTGGAAAACAAAAATATCTGTAACAAAACAAACAGGGCAGGATGTCCTCCTGTGTCTCACAGTGTAAAATAGAATGAATTCAGACTCCTGGGTTTTTCTGGAATGTCTCATTTGCACCCTTTGGCCTTTGTAGTTTTATTGCCTCTTTATCTTCTCACCTTGATGACAAGCACAGTGATAGCAAAACATCACTGAGTGTCCTGGAAACACTCAGACCAAACCTCCTCTTTCTCACCATCACCAGCACATAAAGAAGTAGATGAAAATATTTCCTCTCCTGTCAATGTACTGATTCCCTTTTTCCCCCCAGAATCCCCATGTAAACATTAGGGGTTTTCATTGCTGAGCTGTGCTTGCACAGAGCCAAGGCCTTTCCTGCTCCTCACAGTGCCCTGCTGGCCAGGAAGGGGGAAAGAAACCTGTCAGGGATGAGGACAGACAGGGAAGATTTTGACATGGTCAAAGAATTTGATTTTATTGTGGGATACAAACACTTATATACTATTTTAGAAAGGCTAGTAAAGTTTTACTACAGTGATTGGGTTAAAGATCACATAAACAAACTTATACATTTTAAACATCTCTTGCTTGCAGAAGTCTGATGTAAATGATCTAAATCTCAGGCCCAAGAGCACAAACAACATGGGCTGAAGAGAGAAAAAAACAAAGAAGGATGGGACTGCATGAGCTGGAGCTGTAATTGGACAATTAACTCTAATATGCAAATGGAGCAGAACTTATAAAAGTGAGAGACCCCGTGACCAGTGGGACATTTTGTGACCATTTTGGGTTCACCTGGGGTGCAGCCCTGGCTGGGCTCTTGTGCTGCCCAAGGTGGATCCATTGGGGCCTCCTAATAAATAAACCTGTATTCTTCAGCTCTGTCTAGTCTCTGTTCTGGGTCAGCCTTCTCAAGGCACCAGAGGAACCTGGAAAGCCTCGAGAGCTGTGCCCGTGCCATCTCGTGATCAGCAAGGCCACGTGCAAGGTCCCACACGTGGGTCAGGACATCCCCAGCTCAGGAACAGTCCGAGTGACAATGAACTGACACTAACCCTGAGGAGAAGGACATGGGGCTTTGGGGAGGGGATGGAAGCTCAGCATGACCTGGCAATGCATGCTTGCAGCCCATCAGGCCAGTTTCATCCTGGTCTGGATAAAAACATGGCCAGCTGTGGCCTTGCAAGTAACACTAGACACTTTGGAGAAGTAGAACTGTGAAAGATGCATTGTAGTAGGACCCACAAGGGGTAATTTTATGTGATTTGCTTTAAGGCATTTACAGCATGGTGTGGCAAAAGCTGGTAGGCCAAGAAACTTGGCTTATAATGTATTGTAATTAAGAAATAATTGGCTTCTGATTGTAATGGCGTGAATTATAACATCTGTATTATCTCACTCTTCATGTGAGACTGAAAATGCAATAAAAAGTCTTTAAAACACCTCTCAATTACCCCATCTCTGAGTCAGAGAAGGGATTAATCTGACAGCCAGCAGGTCGAGGGAGGTGTTCCTACATTGCTTCATGCCAAGCCTGCTCCTCAGGCTCATTCAGTCACATGCTGTCACCAAGAGTTTCCTGATGTCTGGCAGCAGTGAAACATCTTTGATCTGGTACATCTGATGCCTTGAGAAGGCTGACCTAGAACAGAGACTAGACAGAGCTAAAGAATAAAGTAGGGATTTATTAGGAAGCCTCAAATAGATTCACCTTGGGCTGCACAACCCAAAATGGTCACAAAATGCCCCACTGGTCACAGGGTCTCTCACTTTTATAAGTTCTGATCCATTTGCATATTGGAGTTAATTGTCCCATTACAGCTTTAGCCCATGCAGTCCCATCCTTCTTGTTTTTCTCTCTTCAGCCCACGTTGTTTGTGCTCTTGGGCCTGAGATCTGGATCATTTGTCCTTGGTCCCCAGCTGGAGCAGGAATTGTTTTGTCTCTCTGCTCTGTGCAGAGAGCTCACCATCCCCTCATGTGAAGCCCAGACCCACACCCTAAAGCAGCTCAGAGCCTGAAAAATACAAAAGCCAAAACCTGAGGCATCACATCCATAGTGTAACTTCTGTTTAAGTGCAGAGCACCCCTGAAGATCGTTTCAAGCTGCTGCTGTTGCTGCTGGCTCCCAGGCAGGGAGGGGATTGCAGTGAACACCACGGGCAGCAGATGGGAGCAACAGTAAACCGGATTTGCTGGATTTGTGCTGCAGGCAGCACCTGGAGAGACAGGAATGCCAGCTGCTGTGAAGGAGGAGCTGGGGGAGTCTGCGTGGGGGTGGCTCAGCAGAGCTGCAGAACTGTGTCACAAGCACTGCTGGAGGCATTTCTGGAGATGGCTTTGTGTACAGCTGCAAAATTCCCTGGCAGTGGAGAATAGTGTGTAAGGCTGACCTCTGTCTCCTTAGTTATATTCACTTCTGCATCGCAACCTGCTCTGGCCTCATATTTTCCCCACTACCCCAATCTAAAGACTGCTACCCTATTCTGGTACATCCATTTCCACTCATTATTCAGCCATGTCCATAACCATTTTTTTAGAAGCCTGGATTTGCTGTGCCCTGGTCCTGTCAAACCTGACCCACAGCATGAATCTCTATTTAGAGGCCATAACTTCCATGCTGAGGCAGTGATTGACCATGCTAGAGGTTAGGTCATCCCAGAATGATCCATCCTGATTCACCTCTGACTTCCTGGCCTGCTCTACCTTATCAGCTTGGCACTTGTCCCACCCACGGCCAGTCCTCCTGCCACCATCATATTTTCTGCAAAAATCCTGTGCCCAGGATTTCTCTCCTGGGAAGCTGAGAAGCCTCAAAGAAAAAGGAAAACAATAATTATCTGATTTGCTTCTCCTGTATTTTGCTGCTTTGGAATGTGGTACGTGATTGTTTCACTTATTTCATGTGAATTCTTTTTACTTATTGGCCAATCGGGGTCCAAGCTGTGTCAGACTCTGGAGGAGAGAGTCACAAGTTTTTCTTTAGTATCCTAGCAAAAAAAAAAATTCCCAAAAATATAACAGCAACAGGTTTAGTGGTCTTTAGCTAAGGAGACCCACTTTATGTGAGAAAATGTGTGCAGTCCTACATCAGAGGGAAACTTCCTTTGCCCCTGAGCCTCAGTTTAGTGGGGCTGTGAAGAGGAAAGGCCTCACATTCTTTGTTTGAGGAGCTTGCCCCTGGCTGTGCTGGTGCACAGGGCACATCCTCTTCACCTGGATGCTGCTGGGGCTCAGCTCTGTGTCCCAGTAGTACTCTGGGGACAGCAGGCGAGTGGGCTTGTGCTGCAGGAGGTACCTGTTGAGGTGGCTCTCGTGGTGCCAGGGGGTCTCAATGCCATTTTCTCTGTCCTGCAGCAGCCCTGCAGAGCAGGCTCGGGTCAGTTTGTACACCTCGGACACGCTGCCCCCATAGAAGCTGGCTGTGTAGTAAAAATCCCCTTGTCCCTCAGGGATGGCAGGGTGTGACTCGGGGTGTGTCTCAGAGGCTTTGTTGTCCTGCTGTGGGGTGACCTGCCAGGAGCTGATGGTGGCCACCAGGGCATCGATGATCTCCACACCGATGTGTGCCAGGAGCTGGACGTTGATGTCCATGGAGTACAGATAGTCCACCTCGTGCTGGAACTGCCTCTGGATGTAGGAGCTGATGATGTCCATGCGGCTCCTGGAGATGTCCTGCCACCTGGGGTCCTGCTGGACAGGGATGACAAACAGGTGGTTCTCAGGGGCCATCTGAAGGTGGAAGGTCTTCTCAGGACTGTCTGTGAACAGGTAGAAGTTCACGGGGTGCCCAGCAAGGAAGTATTTGTTAGCAGAGTTCATGAACCCTTCTATGAACTGGACGTATCTAAGAGACATGGAAAGGAAAAGAATGGAGATGTTCCTCCTGCTGAAGAACAACAGTTTTTCAAATTAATTTTCTTTGTCTTTTTCCACCCATTACTCCTTTTTATGATGTCAGTGCTCTTTATTCAACACAGCTGCTGCCCTTCAGACCTTCCCCATGCTGCTGCACATTTACATTTTAGCTTTCACTAAATCCACATGTTAGCTTTTTACAGAACAGGTGCTTTTCAGCCAATGCTGCTCTCTAATATCACTCCATAATGTAAATATTTCCTCTGATCCCTCCCTGGCACTCTCTCTGCAGTGGAATATTTTAACTTCCTAAAGAGGATCATAGAATCAACAGAGAATTATGGTTGGAAGGGACCTTAAAGACCATTCCATTCCACTCCTGCCATGGCAGGGACACCTTCCACTATCCCAGGCTGCTCCAAGCCCTGTCCATCCTGGATTTGGGCACTTCCAAGGATCCAGGGGCAGCCAAAGCTTCTCTGAGCACCCTGTGCCAGGGCCTGCCACCCTCACAGTGAGGAATTTCTTCCAAATATCTGATCTAAATCTACCTTCTTCCAGTGTAAAGCCATTCTCCCCCATTCTGTCACTACCCACCTTTGTAAAAAATCCCTCTCCCCTTTCCTGTAGGACCCTTTAGGTACAGGAGGGGCTCTAAGCTCTGCCTGGAGCCTTGTCATCTCCAGGCTCAACAACCCCAATTCTCTCAGACTGTTTTCATAGAGAGGGCCAAAATTATCAATTGAATAGTTGTGATTACCTGAAGTTGCTGTGTAACTCAAAGATGCCAGTGGAGGTAGAGGGTATAGAGTATATCAGAAACTCAAAAAAGAACCTCCCCAAGCTGTAACAGTGTGATTAATGTTTTTACTAGAGCTAATATTTTGCCTTTAAACTCTTACAGAAACCAAATAAAATCTCAGCTTCACAGAATTTTTCTATTTTTTAGTGTAGGATAGAGGGAAAGCTTGTTGTTAGAACTGTGGCAGCAGCTAGAATTTTTATTTAAATGGGCCAAAATGCTAGTTATATTTCCAAGGATATTTTATTGTCCTATTCAAAACAATGTCCCAGCCAGCTGTCTTACTTTGGAAGGTGACACTGACATGTCACATTTCTGCCAGCCTACAGCTGGTCACATTCAGTCTTTGGAATGTTTCTCACTTGTGCTCTGTGGCATTCACGTTCTCTGAAAAAAACCCAGGATTTTTTTCCTGGGAGGCTGAGAGGCCTCACAGAAAAAGGAAAACAATTCTTATCTCATTTGCTTCTCCTGTGTTTCGCTGCTTTGGAATGTGTTTGGAGATTGTTTACCCACAGGTGATTGTTTCATTGGATTCTGCTGTGAGTTGTTTTGACTCACTGCCAATTGGGGCCAGACTGTGTCAGGACTCTGGAAAGAGTCATAAGTTTTCATTATTATCTTTTCATCACTGAGTAAGGATCCTTTCTGTCTTCTTTAATAGTGTAGTATTCTTTCATATAATATATTATATATTTAATATAATATATTTAATATAATATATACTATATTTAATATAATATAGCGTCATAAAGTAATAAATTAGCCTTCTGAGAACAAGGATTCAGATTCATCATTCCTGCCTTGGTTGGGGCATCCTTGCAGATACAATAGTGCTCCACCAGCAGTACTGCAGAGAGGTGTAACTATTTGACAAGAAATAAAAGACAAACCAATACTTTTCAACAGCAAAAGTGACCACTCCAGTGACCAAGTTCTTCTGCAGATATTGAGCATCCAGGATGTCTCTGCTGAACGTGCCTTCCCAGACAATTGGAGCCAGCCATGGGGTCAACACCAGCACATCCCGCCTCCTGCAGGGGTTGGGAATGAAAGCAGGGTTGAGATGGCCCAGGAAATTAATCAAAACAAACACAGATATAACACTGAATTAATCATTCCAGTCTCACTTTGAAATCAAGAAAGTGCTGTCAGCAAAATCTGAGATATCAGAATAAATCACACCAGACTCCATTTTCTTCATGGTGGAAAAAGCCCATTTTTTATTTGCATTACTCATTTTTATACTCATGTGAGACTCCAGTTGGTCAGTAGCTTTCTTGCTACTTTATGTAGTAGCTTACTTGTTACTACTAAGCTACTTACAAGTAACAAGTAGTAGTTACTACTAAGCTACTTACAAGTAGCTTACTTGTTAACTTTATTGGTTAGTAAAAGGTATTTTATTGGTCTATTAAATCTCTCTGCTCTTCAATTGTTGACATATTTTTTTCACTGCTTCTCATGGGATAGATTTAATGTTTATGCAAGGGCTGTTGGTTTTTTTACCCTTTCACTTCTTTTCATGGGATAGATTTAATGTTTATGCAAGGGCTGTTGGTTTTTTTACCCAGGAATAGATTGTTAATGCTAATGAACTGCTCACACCAGGATTGCTTTCACATGGGAACTTGCAAAGTGTTACCTTGACAAGGCCAGCCAGTAATTTAACAGAGCAGGCCTGATTTTTTTTTTTATTTCTTTATAATTTTTCTACCTTACTGCAACATCAAGTCACCTTATCCTGGAGCAGACAGCTGCATTAGGTGTCTGTCCTTGATTTTCACCCCCCAGCTCCCAAGCTGTCACTCAGAGGAGCTTTTCACAATCCATCCATCCCTTCACACAGAGCCCAGCACATCCTCCCATTGCTCCAGCCTGTCTCTCCTGGAAAGCTCTCAGCCCTCAGCTGCACTATTCCAGATGTGCAGCTCTCCACCATGATAATAATTAATAATTATATGTATCTATTAATAACTATTCAATGATTATTTATAGACTATATTTATATATAATATAATTATAATAGTATAATAACATTTTATAGAATTATTCAATAATTATTTCTATTATAATATTCAATAATTCAATTAATTATTATATATAATAATTAATAGTTGTTCATAACTCTTAAACATGCAGGACTAAAGATACCCAACAAAGAATTTATGCTGTGTAAAAATCACCATTTAACAGATATGTAAAGGCAGGAAAAGTTGCATGCATGTGACCATTCATCCTATTTCTCAAGAAACCTGAATTCATCCACTGGTTGTATCACATTAGGTGGTCAGATTCCAATTTTCTCCCTGAGAAATATCCCTCTTAAGGAAACTGGCTGAAGGACTTCATGGCTGCTTGCTTTCTGCCATCATAATTTACATCTTCACATTCAATTAATCAGAGATTTCTGAGTGCAGCACAGATTTCTGCTCCTTCCCTGAGCAGGATGGAGGCTCTCCAGCTGGGCTGTTGATCTCCTCCTTTGGAAAGAGGAGGAGGAGGAGGAGGAGATCCCTAATTTGCTCCCTAATTCCTTTGGGATGATGGACAGGTATTTCCCTGATGCTTCCTGGGCTGTTGTTTACTGGTTTATCTCAGAAGAACATCCTCTTCTCACTGGGAATGGAGTTTACAGCTCTGCTAGTTAGGTCAGCTATCACTGCTGGAAAGGAAGGGATGGGACTGTTTTCAGGCTCAGAATGATTTATTGCTCAGACAAACATCAGTCTCGGGGGCTGTGAGGTTATAGAGGAGCCAGCATTCAGCCATAGCTCACAAGTTCTTCATTACAAGACAACACAGAACTTTCTAACACAATGGACAGTTGCCACAGGATTTATTTTGCTTTTCTAACCTATCCCCTTTACTCACTTCTGCTGCACTGTGGATATTTTTACCCAATGATCTTCTACCTCACATGCACACATTGGCTTCTCTTATAACTTCTAAACTTTTAGCTTATACAACAACACCCTTTTTATTTTATATAACCCTTCACCATCTTATCAGTCCAGTTTCTCCCTTACTTAAGGCATATTCTCACCTACAACTATAGAAATATAAGTTTATGATTTCTCTGCTCAATGTCTATGTATTGTATTTATAAATATAATTATATATATTATTTACATCTACAATATATGTAAATATATTAATATATATTTATTATAGAAATATATTTATATAAATTTATTTATTTATATTTCTATATATTTATATCTAAATATAGAAATATATATATACATAATTTACATATAATAGAATCTAAGCTTTTTCCAAGGCTGCAGATCAAATCCTTCAGTGTCTGTGGAGATTTCTGGTTTTCTGTTCCCACACTCAGCCAGGCTGCTTTCCAGAGCAGATGGGAGATTGCTCTGCTCTGTGCTGAGCAGTCCCAGCTCCCTCAGCCTTCCTGCATAGGAGAAAATCTCCAGCCCTTCATGATCCTTTGGTAAACCCTCTCCAGTATGTCCATGCCTCTTTTGTTACTTTTTTATTTTGTTTTGTTTTTCCTACTGCAAATGGCTCTATAATACACAATTCCAGAAAATAATTTATCCCAGTGACCTAAATGTTAATTCCACAGGATTTACACATCATGTATGATGCTGACTGCCACCACAAAAAACCAGTACCAGCCAAGGTCTCTTGTTTTTTAGCTTCTGAGTGGTGACAGAGGGTGCAAAAAAAGATAATTAAGATAAAATTAAAGCAAAATATTTTCAACATTCACCATCATTTCTCAGTTTCCTTTCTGAAAGTAACAAATTAAATATTGTTCATCTGTGCATTCCTGATGGTTTCTGGAAGAGTTGCTTTTCTAGAAACATCCTTTCCTGTCCATTCTGTCCTGCTCAGCTGTGCTGTCAGTGCCAGTCTGTGTTTTTGACATCAATGGGATTTCAGGGGCGTGAAGCCAGAGCAGGTACACTTACCACGGAAGCATCAGAGATGTTTCATACAAGTCTGTTTTTCTGTAAATGAAAATAAAAAAATATTAGAAATATTATATAGGGAGAAATAAAAGAGACACGAATGCATCATGGCACAGAAGTTTCAGATTTTCTGAGAGATGAGCCCCACAAGAGATTTTTCTGTGTTTCAATGTCAGTGAGCATCCAGTCAGACTCCACCACAAACACTATTTTATTATTTATATGAGTTCATATACAATGTGAACTACATTTAACAGCTGGTGTAAATAGAGCTGAATGCAAATTAATCAGCTTTACAATTATTTTCAGCCTGTTTCTGTGGTGCATCTTTGGAAAATCCAGTTTTACTTCTACACAGTGAGAGCCTGGTCCAGTAAGACCAAAGACCTTGTACTAAATTTGTATTTTTCTGACAGGTTTAGGTCCACAGGACACAGAGCAGAGGTCAGTGCTCTCCATTCTCATTGCTTGTGCAGGCTGCTGTGCATGGGTCACTGAGTGACCAGTCTTGATTCCTAGATTTTCCACCAAGAGAAATAGATTCTGTAAAGTGGAAACACTTACTAAAAGGAACAGATTAAACAGGCTAATAGAGGGAAATTAAAAGAATCACATTTACACAAGACCAGAAAGATATCTAGCCATATAAACTTTTTTTTAGGGTGGTGGTATGAAAATGTTCTCATACTGCAATCTTTTAAGTTTCAAATTAATTACAAAAAGAATGCATTGCTTTTGTCATATTGCTTTATTTGGCATTAAAGTTTATTTCTCCCCATGTCATATATGCTGGACTCCTTAGAGCAGCATTTCTAGAGAATTACACAACTGTGTGTGTTCTAAAAGAAGTGATGAAGAGGGGAAACTGAAGTAAAAAGAGCAGTGGGGATAAGAGGAGTGTAATTCATAAGAAGTGTAATTCATAATTAAAAAAAAAAAGAATATAGTAAAATATGGTTCAGTTAAATGAAACTAAGCATTAAAAACCCAGGAAAAGAATATAGTAAAATATGATTCAGTTAAATGAAACTAAGCATTAAAAACCCAGGAAGTTGGAAATTTCAGGTAAACTACGAGGTTAAACTCTTTCTTGATTCCATATCTGGAATCTCTTACTTCTCATCAAGTTTGTGGACAACCCTAAACCAGAGGGAACAGACAATATGCCAAAGGGCCCACATTTTTTAATGAATACAGAGGAAGCCTGGATGAGTCCCTGGCTCAGGGACAGCAGCTTCCAGGTGTCCAGATCAGTGGGATTAAACTCCCTTTTCACTGCATGGTTTTGGGGGAGCTGCACCAATGGATTCCCATTTGCCCACATGAAGTCTCAGGAATCTGATCCTGCTGAGCCCAGCGGGGTGGCTCACATCAAAATGGAAATTAGCACTTCTAGGGCATGGATCTGGTGCCTAAAAATGAGTATTTTCAGATGAGTGTTGTCCTCATGGCCTGGAATGGTCCTTTGGTAAACTCTCTCCACTACATCCATACCTCTTTTATTACTTTTTTATTCTGTTTGGGTTTGCATGCAACACTTACAGGACTGAATCCTCTCCAGGGGAGGCTTTGTGTTCCTGGGCTGGGGAGAAAGGGTAGTGGTACCTTGGACAGGATAAGAAAGCAATGAGTCAACGATAAAAACAGAAATCAACCTCTCCTCCACTTCCTTTGTGACTGAAACTATAAAACAAATCTAACAGAACACACATTTGTGGGGTCAGTATGGTGATGAGGATTTGCAAACCTCAGCTGTTTCAAGACAGGATGTGAAAAATGTGTATTTCATGATTGGCTTTTTGTAAATATTAAAATTAATATTATATGTGTTATGTTTGAAAGTTATGCTGTATTAATTTTCTTAAGCAGTGTGTTAAATGTAGTTTAGGTTATAACATAATGTTAAAATAGAAACTATGCTATGTAAGATACTTTTTTAAAAGAGGAATTAGGTACTCACACCAAGATAGCAGCCACAGGACACCTAAACCTTGCCCCATTATCAAAAGACAAACTTCTCCTGTCTCCTCAGCCCTGAAGAACTGCCAGGATTCAGAGGAAGAAGTTGACACTGACCAGACAGAATCCTTTGTTTGAATGGGATTTATGCATCCTGTATGAGGTGTATGAATATCCAACAGGCTGTTGCTTTTAAGGGTTAATCCTCTGTTAAAGTGGGTCCTTTTTCGGGCTCATTTTGCCCAGAAAGAGGTACCTGGGCTGTCTGTAACTCTTTGTTTTTATTGTCTCATATGGTCCTAATCCTAATTGTTCAAATCTTTATTACTCTAACTATATTACTATTTTTATAACCATTTTATTACTATTAAACTTTTAAAATTTTAAAAACAAGTGACTGGCGTTTTTCACACAGGAGTTTAACCCTAAAGTTATCTGAAGATCAATTAACTCTGGGGATCTAATGATTTAATTTGCCCCAGACTACTTGCACAAAGGAAACGTGTGTGCTTTGCAGCAGAGCTTGGTCTCAGCTGATGCTGGAAGTGCCTCTTGAAGCCAGGTGTTCACAGCATCACCTTCCTCTGGCCAGTCTGTGGGATCTGAGTGTAATTTTAAACAAAAACGTGAGCATTTGTGCTCACATTTGAGCATTTGATGCTCTGCTGCAGAGAAAGTGTGTCATTTGTCCTAATTCCTCCAATTGGAGCAGATCTTCAATATTGTTCCAGCCAACTCTGAATTAATCCCCCCCGCTCTGATTTCAGGCTCCAGAGCACTGAATACACACCATGAAACAACTTTTGTAGATTGAAGAATACTTGAAAGCAGGTGAAGGCTTGTTCATGTGTACTTTCTCTTCCTTATTTTAGAAGAAAAACTACTTTCAGAATTAATAGTCTAGTGAAACAACTAAAAAAATCCTTGCAGCAAACTTGACAACCAAGGGAGACTCAAACCAACCATAAAAAAATACAGCTAAGTCAAACACAGCTAAATCCACTCCACAGAGTTCCAGCATCCTTGTGCTGGTCTGGAGCACAGAGGTGAGGGATGTAAACATGAAAACACACACTTGGGCTCACAGGAATACACAGAGACAATTAATCAGACTTTTATAATTTCACAGAAAAGGTTAAAAGCGCCCACACCTTGCTTATTTTCATCTTTTGAATGTAAGAGGGGATTTTGAATTTTGCTCTGTGTAAATGCTCACATTGTATCTGCATTAGTTAGAAGAAACCTGCCTCAGTCTGGGCAATAGAAGGAAATGCTAGTTGAGAATAATTATCAAAGGTTAAACACCCACCAGATTGCACCAGTGATCCCTGCTGTCACTAGAATAGCCAGTCCATGTAATTTTGTGATTCTCATCTCCTTAGTGCTGCAAAAAAGATTGTGAACTCTGGATTGACAGCAAAGTGAAAAAAAAAAAAAGACCAAACACAAACAGGCAGAAAATACTGTAGTTATTAAATACTGGGCAAGTCTTTTGGTTTGCACTGCAGGTCTGGACATAATACAGAGAAAAATTAGTTTTTCTAGACAGAAAGTTTTACATCTAGGTATTTATAATACATACTACATCTTTACACACTGTACTACACACTGAGATCTCATTTTACAATAATATAGTAAACCATTTTGAATTGTTCAAACCAATAATTCTCATTTCAGATTTTCTCTGAATCAGGTTTTAGTTTTTTTCCACAGACAGTGCTTTTTTTTTTTTTTTTTTTTTTTTTTTTTTTTTTTTTTTTTTTTTTTTTTTTTTTTTTTTTTGTCTAGCTCTCCTTTTTGACCTTGCTTCCTTGGGTTTCTTGCTCTGTCCCTCACTGCTGCAGTTCTCTTCCTTCCTAAGTTGAATGTCACACATTCCTTTTCTCTGGGTCAGCTTCTCCATCCTTTCTGGGGCTGTTCACAACTGGGGTTCAGCCACATCTTCCCTTGTGCCAGCCTTCTGAAAACACTCTCTGGGGCATTCTGTTTGTCAGCATTTCCACCCCCTGCTTTCAGCATCTCCTCCTGCTGTAACCCTTTCTCAGCCTGACTCATTATATTACAGTCTTACAAGCCATCAGTTCTACAGCATTTCACTAACAAGCTACAAAATGGCCCCATAGCTATCTCTGCAAGGTCTTTTAGGGAAAAAACCCTATCCAATTAAGAAATTACACCTAAATTATTTTTACTTTTAACCCAATAACCAACCACTCGTGGCCCACAATGCGGATTTTTTATCCAATTACACCAAATCAGCCAAACCCTGGAGAAGAAGGAGGAGAAGGAGAAGAAGGAGGAGAAGAAAGAAGGAGGAGAAGAAAGAAGAAGAAGGAGGAGAAAGGAGGAGAAAGAGAAGGAAGAAGGAGAAGAAGAAGAAAGAAGGACCAGCCATCGCCCTAAAACTCCATCTTGCTCCGTATCTATTACTATTTTCTAAACCCTTAAACTCCAAGCTTTCCACCCTGTGATATCACACACCTCTATTCAAACTCCACACCCACAATCCTAGTTCTGTCATTCCATTTTGGAAGCCTTCTCCATGGCCCCAGGTCAATGCAGTGTTCTCCTGGGGGTCAGTGCCTGGCAGCACAGAAAGTCCAAAATTCTCAGTTTCCAGGGTTCCAGCACTCACCTGTGGTTCTGCCAATGCTCACACCTCAGCAGCTGCTGCTCTCTGCTGCTCCCAGCCCTGCTGAACCAGAACCAGCTCACAGATCCTTCTGTGTGTGTCAGCCCTGGGCTCGGGGCCAGGAGGAACCTCCACCCAAACCCTCACCTTTTGTGGGAGTGCTGTCAGCTGAGCAATGGGGAAACAACAGGAAATCTGCAGCAGCCAGTTATTCCCTACCACTGCAGCCTTTGTGGGTTACCTAAAAGCAGAGGCCAGACAAAATTAAGGAGATGAAAAGTGGTTATATTGATTGAATATAGGCGTGTGTTTGATATTTGGTGTCTTTTCTCTGGGCTGTATCTCAGTCTAAGCTGGAGGCACATGCAGGGAGTTGGATTTCCTCTCTGAATGGTGTCCTTCACACCTAAAATATTATTGATACTTAATGCTTGGGCACTGCTGTGTCTGTGGAACCTCAAGTAATATTCAAAACCAGTGCAATAATTATTTAATGTCATAGTTGAGATGGAGACAATACAAAGCAACACTCCATTTTCAGAAGGCTTCAAATTGTTTTTATTATAGCCTGCATGCTGTTTATACATTCTTACAAAACTCATAAGTTTACACTTTACCCACTGGTCACCAGAGACAAACAAAGTGCTGATTGGAGCAGGCAGATGCAGGTTTCTCTTATTTCTCCTTCTTTCTTTCTTGGTTTCTATGTCAATGACCTTGGTAGGAAATTCTTTCAGGGGTAAACATGGATCCTCTTCTCAAACTTCCCTCTGGCTCACAGAAGTTGCTATAAAACCTCTTCCACAATTTAAAGTACAGAGAAACTAAGGCACTGATAAGTGAAGAGTTTTACTGCTCAGAGCTCCTCATCATGAGCCTCCAGCAAAGTACAAATGTTCTGAGTTCTGCTCTGATGCCTTGCCACACACACAGCAGTGACTTGGGAGAAAGAGAAAAAAAAAGTATGAACAGTGCTACAATAATTAGCACATAAAAAAATTAACAAGCAAACAACCAACCGCCAGCAGAGCAACACCCTCCATGAGGTTTAGAAAAAAGAGGGGAAATTATTCCCTCTAATTCTGTTCCCAGCCCTCTTGGGCTTTGAAGGATAATGTGCTGTGAGATATTTTACCATCCTGGGAAATCTTAGGCTCAGCTGAAGTGACAAAAGCCTGCAGGAACTGTTTGTGCTCACAGCTTTTAACAAAGCAGCCACCAACAAAGCAGCTTGCAGCCACTGGAGAGAAACAGAACAGCACAGGGGTAAGGTTTAGCTAAATGGGAGAGAGAAAAGCATGGATATGATCTCTTGGTAGACAAAAAACCTTTAATTTCTTTAGGTTTGTTAGAGGTGTTTCTTCTCATCTGATCTCAACTGAGCTCTAAGAATTCCAAGATGGGTTGTGAGTGTCTTGGAAATGGCATTCCCAGTTCTTATCAGGAACCGGAGCAACAGGACAAGGGGGAACAGCTTCAAACTGAAAAGGAATAGGTTTAGATAAGATATTGGAAAAAAATTCTTCCCTGGGAGGGGGGGCAGGCCCTGGCACAGGGTGCCCAGAGCAGCTGTGGCTGCCCCTGGATCCCTGGCAGTGCCCAAGGCCAGGCTGGACAGGGCTTGGAGCAGCCTGGGACAGTGGAGGTGTCCCTGCCATGGCAGGGGTGGCACTGGGTGGGCTTTAAAATTCTTCCAACGCCTGGGATGCTGTGATTCTGGGAGTCTGGGATGTTCTGAGCAGTTTTCAAGAGAAACATGGACATGTTTCTCAAAGTGTGAGAGAGAAGAGAGAGGGATTTCTTGGAAAGGAAAGCAGAGCTGGATTTAACAGATTAAAAGACAGAAATATGGAAATTGCTTATTGTACTTTATGTGCTTTTAAAAATCTTACAGCCTCTGTTGAGAGTGTAAGTTAAATATAACATTTCTCTTACTCTATGTTTTCTATGCAATAGCAATGCTTCTGAGCATGTTCTTGTGGTAAAAAAGGCATTTTTATTCTACTTTCAGTGGACTAGAATGTATAAAACATTCACCAATATTTTTACTTTGAAAAGCTTAATTCTTGAAATATGGAAATTATCTTTCTGTGCCACCTGAGAGTGCTCTGTTAGCTGAGGACAGGTACCTGAATTGCTCCAATTAACCACCCTTCTAAAATTAAAGTAGTGCTAGTCAATATTCTAATGCGCTATAAGCAGATCTGGATTTTTTTAAAGCCTATAATAGAATGGGGAACCATAATTATTTCTTTTCTCTTTTTGATATCCTTTTGGTTCAGGCACTTTTCAATTATAGTTTGTATTCTATAGCATGCTAAATCACTTAAACTAGGTTTTTTTCCTTGTACTGCTTGAAACTGGAAAATGAGTTACCTGCCTTTCCTGTGAGAATTTACCACAGCTTAAATCTCATGGAAGGCTGGGAGATGTGAAAGCCCAGAAATGAAATAGTGGAAATGAAATAGCATTTAGTACCTTAGAAATGAAATTGTAATTAGTATTCTGTCACTTTATTATTTGGCAGCAGTGGTGTACTTGTAATGAAATATATAAGTTATGTAATCAGATTGATTCTACACAGATTATCCATATGCAAGAGAAAAATCTAATTTGAAGTAAATATTTTGAAACTCAAAGAAAAATAAATAATGATATGACAAAAATACATATTTATTTTTCTTCATAACATTAATGGATTTTTTCTCTTAACGTTTTATATGGAAAATATTTTGTTACTAACATATACTGTACATCATTCTAGAAAGTCAGTTGAGTATTGGATAGGAATGTGCAGGAATATGTAAAAAGTGTTTGAAATCTTCCCTAAGAAGTAGAAAAGAAGAGGCATAAACATCAAACTTCAGGTATTTCATGAAAAATCAAGAAAAATTCTATCAATTAATGCAAAAGAAAAAATGATGGATGGCTGCTGTAATTATTGTAGTTTAAGACTATGTAAAAACTGTTATTTGAGGGGACAAGTGGCCTATTTTAGTAAATTCACTGAAAATGAAAGAAATTTTCAGCTGCACAAATCCTTTCCAATTTTGAAAGCAAAACCCAAAGGCACATATCCTTTAACCCTAGCAAACTTATTTAAAGTGCTCTGTGTGAGAGAACAAACACTTATTTTCTTCTGGAAATATTCAGGAGTAAGGGAGACATAAAACAGCTCAAGTTTGCTGTGCATGAGTGCAGTCACTCAGCAGAACTGTGCTTCTGCCTGGGGGGTAGCTCAAACTCTGATCAAATACACATTTAATAATGTTGTATCTTCCCCTCTGGCTGTGTTTTAAGTGAAGATAGGGGTAAGAAGGTCTGTGAAGAAATCAGTGAAGCCCAAATATTTTCTTGGAGCCAGGATCTGAATCACCAATCCTGCTGCAGGCACAAAAAAAAATTTCAGAAGTGGTTAAATAATAAGGGATGTCAAGTAAATAACTGGTGTGGAATGTTTTAAACTGTGTATTTGCAAGTCCAGTATGAAGAGGGTGCTTGGGGGAGATAATACAAAATGTTGCCTTATTTCTTTCCTTTTTGCTCCTCACACATTCTATTGTGTTTGAAGGGATTTTCATGGCAGGGAGGAATGATGACTCTGACTCCATGTTCACAGAAGGCTAATTTATTACTTTATGATATTATATTATGTTATATTAAAGAATACTATACTGTACTAAAGAATACAGAAAGGATACTTATGGAATGCTAAAAAGATAATAATGAAAACTTGTGATTCTTTTTAGAGTCTCGGCACAGCTTGGCACTGATTGGTCAATGAGTGAAAACAACTCACACCAGAATTTAATGAAACAATCACCTGTGGGTAAACACATTCTAGATGAGCAAAACACAGGAGAAGCAAATTAAATAATAAATGTTTTCCTTTTTCTCTGAGGCCTCTCAGCTTCTCAGGTGAAAAATTCTGAGCAAAGGGGTTTTTTCAGAAAATGTAAAATACCACAACATTCCAGGTCTTCAAGATCATCATGGCACAAGAAAATGATACCCACATCCATGAGTTCATCCTGTTGGGATTCCCTACCACCAGAGAGCTCCAGGCTCTGCTCTTTGTACTTTTCCTCGCCGTGTATTTGCTGACTGTCACCGAGAACATCGTTATCATCACTTTGATCATAACCCACCCCCAGCTCCACAAGCCCATGTACTTTTTCCTGGGCCACCTCGCTTTCCTAGAGGCCTGCTACATCTCAGTCACCGTTCCCAAGCTGCTGCTCACCTTGGTGGTGAAGAACAAGAGCATCTCCTTCGCAAGCTGCATGGCCCAGCTGTACTTCTTCATCGCCCTGGTGTGCACCGAGTGTGTCCTCCTGGCCGCCATGGCCTATGACCGCTACGTGGCCATCTGCACCCCGCTGCACTACGCGCTCACCATGGGCCGCAGGGCCTGCCTGCAGCTGGCCGCGGGCTCCTGGCTGCTTGGCTTCCTCATAGCTGTGCTCAAGATCTTCTTCATCTCCCAGCTCTCCTTCTGTGGGCCTGGGGTCATCAACCATTTCTTCTGCGACATCAGCCCGCTGCTCAACCTCTCGTGCACGCAGCGGCGCCTTGCTGAGATGGTGGATTTCATCTCGGCCTTGTTTACTTTGTTGATCCCTCTCTCTGTCATCATAATTTCTTACACCTGCATCATCAGAACTGTTTTGCTCATTCCCAAGGCCCAGAACAGGACGAAAGCCTTCTCCACCTGTGCTTCTCACCTGGCTGTGGTCGTCATTTTCTTCTCAGCCACCCTCTTCATGTATGCTCGGCCCAGGAGTGTGAACTCCAGGGATCTCAACAAGCTGGTTTCCATCATTTACACCATTGTCACCCCAATGCTGAACCCATGCATCTACTGCCTGAGGAACCAGGAGGTAAAGGACACTTTACTGAAGGTCTTGTGTAGCAGGACTGCTCTCTCCAGAGTTTCTGCCTCTGATCACTAATGTAATGCTTGGGAGATTGTTGATGTGTTCGTAGGCCGCAGGATAAGGGAAGAGATGAATCTGACTCAATTCTTAGAAGGCTGATTTATTATATTATGATATGATATTATATTAAAGAATACTATACTAAAGCTATACTAAAAAAGAATAGTGAAAG